GAGCAGCGATGTCACGCTGGCCACGTGACCCGGAAGTGTCTCCGGACAGCGCTGGCCCCCGGCCTCTTGAGTGAGATGGGCGCACAACCCTAGAGTCTGTCAAGACTGGCCCGTACGGGCAGGGGTACCTTTACCTTTACCTTTTAGGCAAGATTTAAAAACCTGATCTTCAGAATTAAAAAGTGGGATGTGGGGGCGAGAAGCATTGCTAAAGAAAGGATCTTTTTTTAAAGCATTTCCTTTGATTTCTTTTTATACTTTATGGAGCCAGAGCTCAGACAGCACAGGCAAGCAAGCAATTAAACGGGGATTTGTGCCTGTAGCGTGCACACTTAATATACCTGCTTACAACTCAGCATGTACAGCCACTTTGCTAGCTGGGGGAGGGATGGGTGCCCATGACACAGCAAGGTGCCTTATTGCAAGTCAGGCTCTTGGTCCATCTTTCCCAATCTCACCTGGAGATGCCAGGGATTGAACTCAGGAACTTCATAATGCAAAGGGCATGGCTTACCATGGAATCAGGCTTACTACCAACTTTTAAGCCAGGCCCTGTTGCTGTCCCTTTAACCCGCAGTTTGATCTGCAGAAGTTAGCAGGTGATCCCATTTAGCTCCAGGCCCTCAGAAGTTCCACCTGCTGATTTCTAAGGATTAAACAACTTTTTTTAAAATTGAATTTACTTAATAACATAACATTAGTACCTATGTATGGTCTTTGGAGGGGAAAAGATTACAAAACAATGACAATTCAATTCTATACAATACTATTCACCATACATTCATTACAAATATACATAAGACTTCCCACCACCCCCTAATGCCTTTACTTTTTCTGTTTTCCTATTAAACATATAATTGTAACTTTAAATTAATTATACAATCTTATAGTTTCTTACTGCTTTTGAAACCTTTTACTTTATCATTCATATGTACAGAAATTATTCAAACGCTGTAATAGACACCACACCGCTGTTGTATTTCGTCAAATAGTTCTTAAACATGTCCCATTTTTGGACAAAGTCCTGATTTACATTACCTCTCAGCCTATTCGTCATTTGAGCCATTTCGGCAAATTCTACCAGTTTGTTCTGCCACCCAGTTTTTGAAGGAACCCCCTCCCCCTTCCAGTTTTGTGCAGTTAGAATTCTCGCTGTTGCGGTTGCATACAGAAAGATTTCTTTCACATTTTGGGGTATTTCTCTCCCTACAATCCCAAGCTGGAAGGCCTCAGGGTTTTTTTTGGAAATGTTGTTCTTACAATTTTTTTCAGTTCGTCGTATATAATATTCCAGAACTCTTTAATTTTTGGGCAGGGCCACCACATATGGATCAGACTGCTTTTAAAGAGACAGGCTTTTTCTCCCTGGTCAGTTGACTAAACCAACGACTTCCCCACTGGCTGCTGAAATGGCCACCTTCCTGTGGATGCTCCCACATAGGGGTAGGCAAGCGACTCTCCAAAAAAGAGTCATTTTCTAAGAACATAAGAAGATGCCCTTTAGATGCCAAAGGGGACCCATCTAGTTCCAACATCCTGGTGTCACAGTGGTCCAATCAGAGGCCACCAAAGGGAAACCCACAAGCACAAGAGCACTCTCCCCTCCTGTCGCTTCTATCAACTGTTACTCAGAAGCAATGCTGTCTCTGGCTGTGGAAACACAGCTGCTTCTGCGCTGGTGATCACTCGTAGCCGAGTAAGATTGTCTTCCATAAACACGGTTTTAACAGTGAGTCCATAAGTGACTGTGGAGGCCAATTCTGGATCCACACATCCTCCCACAGTGGGGACATAGGTTTCCAGGTGGAAGTTGATCATGGTGAGGGTTTGCCAAGCGTGCCTTCCTCTTTGTACATTTCTCCCTGTCGTCTTGAGTTTGAGGGTCTTCAAAGCCCGTGACACCTTTGGTAAAGGCAGTTCTCCAACTGGAGCACTTGCAGGCCAGTGTTTCCAAGTTGACTGTGTTTAAAGGTAAAGGGACCCCTGACCGTTAGGTCCAGTCGCGGATGACCCTAGGGTTGTGGCGCTCATCTCGCTTTATTGGCCGAGGGAGCCGGCGTACAGCTTCCGGGTCATGTGTCCAGCATGACTAAACCGCTTCTGGCGGACCAGAGCAGTGCACAGAAACGCCATTTACCTTCCCACCAAAGCGGTACCTATTTATCTACTTGCACTTTTGACGTGCTTTCAAACTGCTAGGTTGACAGGAGCTGGGACCGAGCAACGGGAGCTCACCCCATCGCGGGGATTTGAACCACCGACCTTCTGATAGGCAAGCCCAAGAGGCTCAGTGGTTTAGACCACAGCACTACCTGTGTCTCTGTTTAAACTTTACACTACATTTTTTTAGATTTGCCTTGAGAGAGTCTTTAAACCTCTTTTGTTATGCTTTCCATTTTTAAGTTCGGAATAGAGTACTGTAGTTGCTTTTTTTTTTTTTTAAGGTACCCCTGCCCGTACGGGCCAGTCTTGCCAGACTCTGGGGTTGTGCGCCCATCTCACTCAAGAGGCCGGGGGCCAGCGCTGTCCGAAGACACTTCCGGGTCACGTGGCCAGCGTGACATCGCTGCTCTGGCGAGCCAGAGCCGCACATGGAAACGCCGTTTACCTTCCCACTAGAAAGCGGTCCCTATTTATCTACTTGCACCCGGGGGTGCTTTCGAACTGCTAGGTTGGCAGGCGCTGGGACCGAGCAACGGGAGCGCACCCCGCCGCGGGGATTCGAGCCGCCGACCTTTCGATCGGCAAGCCCTAGGCGCTGAGGCTTTTACCCAGAGCGTTGCTTTAGTAGTTGCTTTTGGAAATACTGTCATGGCTGGTGTGTGATGAGAGAGGGAGAAAAGCACCCCTATTTGCTTTTTGTGGGTGTAATATCGATTGTGGAATTCTCCCTTCCTGTTGTCCTGAGAAACATCTTGAGGGAAACCTTTCTCCAGCGGGCAGGCCAGATCCTGAGGTCGCTCAGACCCCACAGGCCATTTCAACCAGGTGACGAGTCTTCTCTTTGCAGTAAAGGTCTGAAAGCAGAGCACCTGGGCAAGGGAAGAGGGCTTGCCAGGGTCTGCCAATCAGCTGGTGGAGCCTCATCTTTACCTGATGCCAGGTGTAGGGCAGGAGGGGAATGGCTTGAGGAAAACAGCCCCATCATGCAAACATTGTAGACATATGCAACCCCATCCGCCTTGATTCCCAGTGCCAGGAATCCAGTGCAGCCAGGCACTGAGCCGCCCTGCCCAGCTGCTGCTTTAAACCTCTCACCGCTACTTATTGCCATGGGGACGAGGAAGAATTAGTTTCTGAACAGCAGCATTATCACCCTGTCAGTATGGAGAGAGAAAGCTGGGAGAGTTTGGTTGGCAGATGGGGAGGACGAATGGTGCTAAAAGGAGGAAAGGCTGATGGACTGAAGGAGCTCAGCGATCTTAGGCTGGGTCTGTGAGGAACCCCCGACAGTCAGGGTAGAGACAATACTGAGCTAGATAGACGGATGGTTTGACTTAGCATAAAACATCTCCCTGTGTTCCTGAGTAAGGACACATTCCAGCCAGGCAAAAACTCTCAAGGAAGGTGTGAAGCGGAGCTGGTGAGGGGTGGGGCCAGGGGAGTGTCCGAAGGGCCAAACAGAAAAGCATCGAGGGCCACATTTGATCCTTGGTCGATAGGTTCCCTGCTTTAGTGGTGCAAGATATATTCCAAATTAAATTGCAAACAACCACAATTATATTGTTTCAGAGTAACTTGTTATGAAAATAAGTTCCTTCTAGCATGGGAGAGGTGATCTGAGGCTAGCTTTGCTGGATCCGTTTATAGATGACCATAATAATTCATTGTTTAAGGACCTACTGATCTTTTTCATGTCTGCCGCTAGATAAATAACAACACAGTATCAGAAAACAGCTTCTAACTGAATGCCACAGAGACCTGGTGGGAGAGGCTATGGAAGGCAGCCCTTAAAGAGAAATTAATTAAGCATCTCAGAGCACTTGGGAACTAAAAAAAGATTTTGAAACTGTATGGCCCATGTTTATTCAGAACACCAGAAAGGACAATGTGGCCTTCTCACCACCAGCTACCCCCAGCTCACTCTGGGACAACCTGTTAAGACAGAGAGTAGAAGCTACTTAACCAATGTAATAAACTCTAAACTACAGTGGTACCTCGGGTTACATACGCTTCAGGTTACAGACACTTCAGGTTACAGACTCCACTAACCCAGAAATAGTACCTTGGGTTAAGAACTTTGCTTCAGGCTGAGAACAGAAATTGTGCTTCGGCGGCACGGCAGCAACAGGAGACCCCATTAGCTAAAGTGGTGCTTCAGGTTAAGAACAGTTTCAGGTTAAGTACAGACCTCCGGAACGAATTAAGTACTTAACCCGAGGTATCAGTGTATTTACAAACTTGCTTCATGTTTGACTGCAGTATTTACATTGTATGTCCATGGAATGTTTCTTGCAGGGTGCGTTATATGGGGATTGTTAATTTTGTGTATTTTCAGAAACTGAAAACTAAAGTTAATAATAAGTTTTAAAAAGTCATGTGTTATCTGAAAGGCTGGCAGGTGGAGGATCTCCCCTGAGTTCAATTTAAATAATGCATTTATTTTTTAAAAAAAAGAGTGTTAGGAGATTTTGCATCTGACACTTCACTGGTTCTACCACGAGGTGTCACTATGATGCCATGTATTAATTCTGCCAAGCTGCCTCTATAGCAGCAGGGCTATAACAGGAATTCTCAGGCTTGTTTTTCCCCCTTCTGGAAGCAGGTGGGACTGAGCACCTTGCTAAATAGAAAAGTTGGGGAGTGAACTGGACTGTGTTCCAGGGAGCTGGGAAACCACAGCCAGACCTCCCTATAGCTCAGACATGTGACTCTTAATCTCAAGAGTTGTGGGTTCCAAGCCCCATGTTGGGTGAAAGATTTCTGCATTGCAGGGGGTTGAACTAGATGGATCTCATGGTTTCTTCCAATTCTACATTTCTATGTCTCTATGAATACAGCTGCTGTGAGGTGGGTCGTGCTGAGATCTGCTGAGCAAACCCTGAGCATCTCGATTACATGGTACCACCTTCATCCTAATGGACCAGCCCCCAATGGGGAGAGGAATCTACTGGAAACAGTGTCTTTCCTGTGCTGGCACCCAGATTATGGAGCACCCTTCCCAGGCACAATGAATTAGACAGCCTACGTGGTTGCAGACCATACAAGGTTCCCTCTGGCTTTGCACTGATGCTTTCAAACTGTGCAAATTAATGATGTTCTTACCATTGCTTTTATTTCCACAAGTCACGTGGATTTATGCTTTATGAATCAGGTGAACAGAAATAAATGAGGATAGTGTTGCCAACTGGCCATGAGATAATAACAAAAGCCGCTTTACTCCTCCTTGGTCATTCTGCTGCCACACCCAGCTAAACTGTAATTTGACTTAGTGTGTTCATGACTTAGAGGACACGCCCTATTCTTCTGATTTGTAATTGTAAATTGTCTTAATTACATTGCACTTGTATATGGTTTATCACCACCAGCCCAGGGACCTTATTTATTTATTTGTTACATTCACATCCTGCCCTGCCTCTCAAAGGAGCAGCAAACAACAAGCAATGAAACAATAAAAAACACTTTTAAAACAACCCCCCATACAGGTGGGAAACAGCTTTTTCCTTTTCTTGGAAAAGGAAGAACTTGCTTGGTGCCAAAAAGAGAACAGAGACGGCACCTATATAATATTCAAGATTATAAATGCTGTTAAGTTGTGGGTGAACATATCAGACAACACAGCAATTCTTCAAACAGCTCTCGTTTATTCACGGGCCAGAACAGAACTGAACTGAAGGGTTCAGCCAGCCTGCTTATATAGAGCTCCACTACAACGCAACAGTAACCACTTTTTGTACCTATCCAATCACTGAACGTCACTTTCAATCCCTTATTTGCATATGTGGACATACTATCTACAGTATCCCCCTGCTGGCCCAGGGTGAGAACTTCAGTACATAACAAATGCCATCTCCAACTCCTTGAAAGATTCCATCAACGGTGTCTCCGAAAAATTTTACACATCACTTGGGAAGGCAGGCAAACTAATGCCAGTGTACTGGAAGAAGCAAAGATCACCAGTGCTGAAGCAATTATTTTTCAACATCAACTTTGTTGGCCTGGTCATGTTATGCGGATGCCTGATTGTCGTCTTCCAAAGCGACTACTCTATTCCGAACTTAAAAATGCAAAGCATAATTCTGGGGGTCAACAAAAGAGGTTTAAAGACTCTCTCAAGGCAAATCTAAAAAAAAAATGTAGCATAAACACTGACAACTGGGAAACACTGGCCTGCAAGTGCTCCAATTGGAGAACAGTCTCTTCCAGCTCGAACTCAGGACGAAAGGGAGAAACACACTAAGAGGAAAGTACGCTTGGCAAACTCTCACCGTGATCAACTCCCACCCAGAAATCTATGTCCCCACTTTGGAAGGACATGTGGATCCAGAAGTGGCTTCCACAGTCACTGTTAAGACCATGTTCATGGAAGACAATCTTACTCTGCTACGAGTGATCTCCAAAGAAGAAGAAGATTCAAGCAGAAGACATTCCAGAGGGCAGAGGTCTCACAACACTAAAAGCTCAATACCAGCACTGTGTGGAAGGAACCTCCTGGTGAGAGGTGCCCGCAGGAGGCCCTCATCTGTGGAGTGTGGTATATAACTGGATATATAACAAGTGAGGCAATATTTCAGGTTCCCCAGCCCCAAGCTGTATAGAGCTTTATGCACTAAAACCAACACCTTAAACTTAGCCCGGTAGCTAACTGGCAGCCAGTGTCAATTATGCTGAAGGGCAGTTAAGAAATCCAAACAATTATAATAATTCCCCAGGGGAAATGGCAGGCCGTGAAATAGGGCTGGGGATCTCCCAGTCCTCAGATGTTGCTGGACTACAAATCCCATCAGCCCTGAGAATTGGGTGCACTGGCTGAGGCTGATGGGAGTTGGAGTCCAAGAAATTCTGGAAGGCAACACAGAAGCCCAGGTTGGGCAGTTCACACATGGCACAACAGCAAAGCAAACTGCCGAGGGGAAAAGAATCCACCAGCCAAGGTCCCCTCTAGGAGCCACAGGTCCACACAGTCATGCAGCAGAGTTGCGGTTTGTCCGAGTGGGATGGCCAGGATGCGTCACGTGGCTTGTGCCCCGCTACCCTGACCTTGGCGGTTTCCAGAGATCTTTTGGTTTGAAGCGAGATTCGCCAGCAGGCCTTCTTCAGATTTATGGGCTGTGTGTTACGTTATCCTTCACCTTTGTTTGAAAACAAACAGCGACACAGAAACATGAGAAAATAAGATGTAGGAGAAGGCTGCAAAGGAGGAGGGTGGGGAAAAACAAGGGACTAAGAATGTGTTTGTCTTGTGTAACAGTCTGAGCAGAGAATCACAGAACTGTAGGGCTGGAAGGGATCCTCAAGGGTCATCAAGTCCCACCCATTGCAGCATTATTATTATTATTATTATTATTATTATTATTATTATTATTATTATTATTATTATACTGCCCTACACCCACAAGTGGAGGAGACTCTTGAGAGTCCCATGGACTGCAAGAAGATCAAACCTATCCATTCTTAAGGGAATCAGCCCTGAGTGCTCACTGGAAGGACAGATCCTGAAGCTGAGACTCCAATACTTTGGCCACCTCATGAGAAGAGAAGACTCCCTGGAAAAGACCCTGATGTTGGGAAAGATGGAGGGCACAAGGAGAAGGGGATGACAGAGGACGAGATGGTTGGACAGTGTTCTTGAAGCTACCAGCATGAGTTTGACCCAACTGCGGGAGGCAGTGGAAGACAGGAGTGCCTGGCGTGCTCTGGTCCATGGGGTCACAAAGAGTCGGACACGACTAAACGACTAAACAACAACAAAATACCCGCAGGTCTCAGAGTGATTTGCAACATACAATCACCACAGCTAAATGTAGGAATAGGAGAAGAGCTTCAGATCAGGGGTGCAGAAGGGGATAAGGAAAGGCCGAAGCCATTGGCTATATTTAGAAGACAAATTTATTATTCTTATGTGTCACCCCAATCTCTAAGCATTGAGAGACTCCTGCACTTACTCAGCGTTCGCCTTCCTTGAAATGAGGGGCAGTGGAGACTGTGTTGTCTTGAGGCGATTTGGTTTTATTTACACACATATATATGACCTGATGGGTGGGCTCACAGTACAAGTTGATCTTGCTTCCCCCGTTAGAGTTCCAGGGGGTCTCCAAAGCTGTAGCACTGGATTCAGCACAGAGAGCAAATTCAGGCTCTCTGTCCCCTTCCAGCTCCCAGCCCAGACTCAGCCTCGACTAGCCCTGGCATGCAGAGGCTCGATCTAGGAATGGGAGAGAACCTGCCCTGGCATCCCGGGGAGCTGCTGCCAGTCTGTGTAGGTAGTACTGACGTGGCCTGGATCGGAACAAAGGCAACTTCCTGCAACCCAGCAGAGTCCTTCCAATGTCCTTAGTCGCTGAGAAACGGCAAACGACAAGGGGACTCAACTTAATAATTAAACAAGCAGGCCCCAAAAAGGCTGTTTATGTACATATATGCATTTCTGTACATTTCAATGCGTGAAAGAAAGCTAGGCTCAAAAGAGCAACCACCAGCAGCCTTTTTGGGAAAGGAGCCCCTGGGCCAACCCCCTGCCCCCACCATTCTGTTCAGTTGCCATGGGGCTGTCCCCTCTCGGCAAAGAACTCTGGCTTTTTTGCTTACTAACATTTCGTCATTCAAGGGGAACACAGGCTGCCTGGACTCGGCTGCCCAGAGGAAGTCGTTGCTCTGGAGAGCTGACTTTGGAGAGCAGCTGCTCTCTCTCTCTCTCTCTCTCTCTCTCTCTCTCTCTCTCTCTGCCTTCTGAATGCTGGCCTTTCCCCCTACTTCTTTTTTTTAAAAAAAATAAAATGATTTAAAATATTAACTCAGCATGTGGCAGGATGGGAGGTTGTTCAGCCCAATCCAAGCAGGCACCAAGCCCTAGAATCATAGAACTGTTGAGTTGGAAGGGACCCCAAGGGTCATCAAGTCCAACCCCATGCAATGCAGGAATCACAACGAAAGCATCCATGGCAGATGCTTAAAAACCTCCAATGAAAGTGGGTCCACCACCTTCCGAGCGAGCCCCTTCCACAGTCAAACAGCTCTCACCATCAGAAAGTTAGTCGGAATCTTATTTCTTGCAACTTGAATCCATTTGTTAAGATACAGTTGTACATTTATCCACTCCATGTTTACAGTATCTCCAGGCTTTGTTTTGCACATGGCACCTTAGTATGTTTGTTGCTTGAATGGTTACAAGTCTATCTCTATTCTAGTTATTATTCTAGTAAATTTGGTTTTATACTTATAAGCCAGTTTGTGGTGTTGTTGTTTTGTTGCATTATTATTACTGTCACCACATTTGATACTTTGTGTATATACTTCCTACATTATTTAAACCACACTTGGCCCAGGGCGCTAATCAAACAGAGAACTGTTCTCTACACTTGCCCACCCTGATGCAGTGATGTTGAATTTTGGAACTCCTTCCACACCTGGACTCTCTGCATGTAGATGTCAGGTCAAAATGCTTCCCCTTTTTGCCTGAGAATTCAGTACAGTAGTATTTAAGTGTTTGATGCTTAAATGGTTTGGATGGCTTTAAAAGAGGATTTGATCAATTCACAAAGTGGCTACTAGCCATGATGGCTATGCTCTGCCTCCAGAGACAGCAATGTTTCTGATGGAAACCACAGGAAGGGGAGAAGGCTCTTGTGCTTGAGTCCTGCTTGCTGGTTTCTCATAGTCATCTAGTTGGCCACTGTGAGAACAGGATGCTGGACTAGATGAGTCATTGGCCTGATCCAGAGGCTCTTCTTATTTAGGTTTGCTGCCTTTGTGATGATGTGCAGCTTAGAGAGGGGTTGAGGCAGTGTGCTGTGAGGGGTGCAGGCATTTTTAAGGGTGCCCAGTACCTGTGTATGGCTTGCTATTATTATGATGATGGTGGTTATTATTATTATTTCTATCCAGCCCATCTGGTCCTGCAAGAAAAGATTCCTGTTCTACCATCCACCAGGATGCTCCATTCAGCTGTCCTGTTCTTCTGCCATGCACACACCTGTCATGGACCAATCAGCCAGGATTATGTGGCCCCAGAGCATTCTCAGCCCTTATTGATGGAAAGCATTGCTAAAGATAAAATAATCAAGCATACAGAAGAACAAGCCCTGCTGAAACAGAGTCAGCATGGCTTCTGCAAAGCAAAGCCCTGCCTCACGAAACTATTAGAATTTTTGGAGAGTGTCAACAAGCATATAGATAGAGATGATTCTA